GCCCTTTTTCATGAATGACAATACCTTACTGGCCTTAGCCACTGCTGATTGACATTGCACATTGTTGCATAGTTTGTTGTCTATAACAATTCCAAAGTCCTTTTTGTGTGTTGTTATCCCTAATTTACTTCCATTAAGGGTATCCGTTGCTTGTGAATTCTTTACGCCAAAGTGCATAACTTCATGATTCCTTTTCTTGATGGTGATGGATGCATTTGACACAAAGTGTTCAAACTCTGTTTGAGATGGACTTAATAGTTACCCACAATTCCTAATTAATAATGATTATAGGCACATACATCAGCAGTCAGCTGACTACAAGTCCCCACTTGCCGTGACTGCTATCTGGGTTTGAGATACTGAGTTCAGCATTGGATTATGATAAACATTTACAAAAAATATAGATAACATGAGAGCTCTGAGAATGAGCAAAAGCTCAGAGAAACCTAAATAGCTTGCCCTTTGGTTAGTTCCTGCTCTGGTCTCAAAAATTGTTTTGCTCACTTGTACCATTACAAAGAGAACCTACACCATTTGCTGGCAAGTTCCCTGTGCATGAGAGATACAGCAACAATGGACGATCATTCCAGCCTTCTTTGGGCATTGCCAGTGAGGTGTAGCTAATGGTTTCTAGGCACAGTGGTGTCCATGTCAGGATTACTCTTTTAACTTAGGGAGAGCCTAGTAAATATATTGCAACAAAAATAGAGAATATGATAAAAAAATATATATATGTTTCAAAGGCTTCCGGTTCTACCTGTTTTCATTAAATAAATACATGCCTTCCCCTTCTCACGAAGAAAAATATAAACATTGTATGACACCTGTTATCATTAGTGTAATTATGTGTCCCTGTTTGGTTAACCCCTTAAAACCGAAGGGCGTACTATTATGCCCTATTCTATGTGGCTCTAAATGCCACAGGGTGTAATAGTACGCCCTCACAGTTTTTCTTACTTACCCGGTCGCTGACGATCCCACGCTGGCGATCGCGGTCGGGGGACTCACCTGGGATCCCAGGGAGTCCCCCGCGGCAGATCCTGCCTCCTCCGGCCCCCCCCCCGGCCATGTGAGAGTGAGGTCCTTGCCAGTGTTTGTGACCAAATGGCTACTAAAAAAGACTGGACATACCCCATTTGCAATACCTTGGTTTGTCTACTATTGCAAATGGTATGCCATTATGGGTATAAATTTCATTCCTGGGCTACAAAATTTCTTATTTTCTCCCATTTTTTCATATTAAATTATGTTTCATAGCTAAATATTCGATATTAAATAAAAGCCCTGTTTCCCCTGAATAAAATGATATATAATAAGGGTTTGTGCATTTAATATGAAAGAGGTGAATTACGGTTGGACAGACATGTAGCGCAAATGCCAGGTTTTGTTTACGTTTTGTTTTGTTCACAATGTGTACATTTGGCTCAGTCCTTAAGGGGTTAAAGCAATGTTATACAGTTGTAAACAAAAGTATTCAATCCCCATTGAAAATCAGGTTTATTTTTAATATTTACAGACTTTTACCTGTTTAGAATGATCATATCAAACAAAAGCAATTGAAATAGCTCAACACAATGAATGCTTTAAGTGGTTTTCCCAAATGTAACTGAAAATGCAACTTTAAATGACTTTTGCGGTGTTAAAATTATTTAACCCCTTCATGGCAATCATCTTTAGCACTTCGTGGGGCATCCTTTTGCTGTTATGATCTGCTGCAAACAAGATGCATAGCCAGACATCAGTTTCTTCTAGCATTCCAGAGGAATGTTAGCTCATTGCTCATGACCAATGGCCTCCCGTTCAATAATATCCTTGCGTGCTGCAACCACCTTCACATCTCACCAGAGATTTCACATGGAGTTCAAGTCAGGTGACTGTGATGGGTGCTGTAGAATTTTCCAGGACTTCTTCTGCAACCAAGCCTTGGTGGAATTTAAGGTATGCTTGGGATCATTGTCTAATTGGAAGGTCCAATGACACCCAAGCTTCTGCTTCCTCACAGACGGCATGATGTTTCAAGATTTCCTGATACTTCAATGAATCCATCTTGCCTTCCACCGGTTACCAATGTCAGAGGATGCAAAGCAGGCAGAGTGTTCTTTTCAATGTATGCTTCATTCTTCTAACTCCAGAAGTACTGCTTAACCATTGAGAGGAAAAGTTCCAGTTTCGTTTCATTGCTCCACAGAACAGAATCCAATTTCTGTGGCTTAAATATATGATTTTATGCATATTGGAGACGACTTTTCCTGTGCTATTGGGTCAGCAGTGGTATATTAAAATAGAGAAAAGAAGGACTAGATGGCGCTAAAGGTATAGAGTTGGTGCTGCTAAAAAAACACCCAAGTGTACAGTCACTGAAATACACTTAAAATACAGTATACAGTGAGAAAAAACAAGGTGTTCAGCGCACACATAAAAAAACCATTTACCTTAAAACAGTCACTTGGTAAGATGTAACACTTTTTGGAATAACACTGATTCCTATATAAGACAGGAAATAAAACAGTACATAGTATAGCCTGTATAAATGGTTAAAATTGATATATACAAGGTCAGCACACTCACAATTTTCAGAGCCTATCATAAGCTATATAAATGGCAACAATAATAATAATAATAATAATAATAATAAGTTTGCTCTGAACTTATAAGGCACACCAGCTCCTCTCAGAAGTGTAGGATGCTTTCTCAAGGATAAGATTTCCACGTATTGGTAGCTATTTATATCACAGGAACAACAGGAACTCCGAGGTCCAAAGTGAATATAAGCTATTTATTAGTACAAATAGTACATACAAACAAAATAAAATAGAAATAAAATCACAACGCGTTTTAAACCACAACTGGGTCTTCTTCAGGTGTAAACAGTAGTGGTATATGTCTTGGAGTTCTGGCATGGAAATCTTCTGTGTTTAGTACACGCCTTATGGTGCTCACTGAAATCTCAGTCTCTTCATTACTCACTCTGTCTCGAGACAGAGAAAGAGGTGGATGTAGTGAGTGTTGCAGAATATTGCACTAGACCATAGAGGCCATGGCGTCAAGGCTGCAACCTAGTAGTGGCGACATGGTTGAGGGGAGTGTTTCCCAGAGCAGCCTATATATCCTGCTCAGTTGCCATTTTGTTAAATCATTTAATTTCTTTTTCAGTCTGGTGCTGATAAATCTGACTGACACAAGATAATGCCGTGCTCCCCAGGGCCACCCCTATAAATTTCCCCCCTACCATTGTTTGTATAGTGCATGGGTAATGACAGCCAAAGTGATAGCCTGCATTTGCTTTGCTTTGTGAGCATTTCCTTATAGAAAGTAGGGGGTGTGGTGGGGAATGGGTGGGGGTGACATTCCTTTTCCCCATCAGACCCTTCTCATGAGGAGCACACAGAGCACAGCTCCTACTCCTGTTTTCTGTACCCCAAATGCTAGGGCTGCTAAAGACACATTACTGTGAGTTTTAATAAACTGTTCAACTGATTAAAAAAGGTAGACAAGATTTTGTTTCCATTCCACTTTTCAAATGCTCTTGCTGTTCATCAATGTCTGGCAAATACCATATATATGTATGCACATATGCAGGTGTGTACATTTAGGAAACTGGCCTTGAGGCAGCAGGGAGGGTAAATCCGGCTCTGACAATAAAAGGATGTTGGGCAGTTAGAGAAATACTGTAGAAGCAGCATTTGTACAACACGCAAAGTCAGCTTTACGGTAACTATTTTATTACTAGACAGTCCTCGCACATAAGTTTTGTTCCCTGTACACTTCTCATTCTACAATGTCGAGCGAAAGCATATAAAAAATAGTAAATATTTTTTATTTATTGTGTTGTAAATTTTACTTTAGAATCAATGGCACTATTCCGTGGGCCTGGGCCTTAGGCTGCAGCTCCATTAGCCCCTTTGTTAATTAGGGAAGAGAATGGCCAAGCCTGACACTAAAAACAGTTCAAGGCTTGTATGACAGCATTCCAAGAATTAAGGTTGTTATGAATGTTGCTAAAAAGGCTGGTTTCACTGGGTGAGACTTCCAAATAACTTGAATGGTGCGACATATGCATTTGTCGTTATACCTACTCCATGCCCTTAGAGAGTCAGGTGCAAGAGATAACTGTTAAGAAACTGTACTTCAATTCTTTTTGGATATTAATATAGGAAACGGTAGTCCATAACAATTAATTTTCACGTTGAAGAAGCAGTATAATAGATAACAAAAATAAACAGTATATATTTAGTAAGTGAGTCATTTTAAACAAAGTCATTTTTTTTTGTATAAATACTATATGCATAAAGTCATCAATTTGAATTAACTCTGTTTGAAAAACAAATAAGTCATCTGTATTAAGGTGTTATGTAAATAATGCATTTATATAAAACATGACGATTAAACAGTTTAAATGCTATCAAGACAACTATTTTTATTTCCTTGGATTGGAACTGGGAATTAAAGGAAAAGCATAACTGCACATCAGTGCGAACAGCCACTGGGCAAGTAGTTAAATAACACTTGGTAATGTTGGTTAATTATGTGGTGGGTGGCAAGCAATTGGAAACATAATTAAAAAAAAAAAAATGTAAAAACCCTATGGGGTCAATAAGATCTCCATATTACAATATGGGAATGTGTCTGCTAAACAGATGTCTGCAGGGGGCATGTCCTAGCACTCAATGAGACCAGATGCATGTCTTCTTAGCTCTGCAGTTTGTCAGCCTACAAGCTAAACAAATCGGGCCCCCACAAGAGACCTAGCAGTTTGTCACCTTGTCTCAGACAAAAAGCCAGAGGCAAACCAACAAGCTTTGAAAAAAGCAATGTCTTCGGCGTAAAAGCGAGTTCTAACAAACTTACAGTCCAGCGTGAAGAAGGCCAAGATGGCACCGACAGTGATGCCTCATGCACTTCTGAACCCCTGGGTCTCCTGAAAACTATGCTAGATGCCATGGCAGATAAAATTCAAAGAACAATGCAGACCTGCACGGATTTCTGAAATAGAGGAGAAAATGGCGGAACACGCCAAGGCCCATGATGATCTCAAAGATCTTACGGCAAAGGTAGAGTCATATGAACTAGCCAACCTGGAGGACAGAGGAAGGCGCAATAACCTCAGAATCCGAATCATATCAGAAAAAGTGGGGTAAAACAACCTACAAGCCCAAAATATTGGCCTCCTACAAATGCTTATGCCAGACATCATTCAAGATATGCTATTGATCGACAGACTCCACCGTGTCCTCAAGCCTCAATCCCTGCCAGCACATATGCCAAGGGACACACTCATGCAAATGCACTATTACTATATCAAAAACATTCTCAGAGCAAATAGGAACATGAAGGATCTGCAATCTCCATATAGCAACATCCTGATCTTTGGGAATATATTGGCCTTCACATTAAGGAAACGACTAGTGTTGAAGGACCTCATGGAGCAGCTACGCAGGAACAACCTACCATACCGTAACCCAAAGTCAAATTCCAGGAGACTTTCTACTGAATGGAAAAAATCAAGCAAGTGAACTTGAACTCTCGCTATACTCTTACAGAAACACATCCAGAGAGCTGCACGAAGATCACCAAGTGTAATTTTATTTTTGCCCAAGTTTAATACCTCCCTGAAATGATACTCAGTTTTACCTTCTTTCCCTATATAAACATACCCCCTCTATGATGAGAGTGGTCGCTATCGATTGCAACGAAAGCCAAGAGTACAATTATCTCATTCGGTATTCCGAATAGTAATATACACAAATATATGGTGCATTTCTGAGATACCCTCAGGGCCACATCCAGTAAACATAGTCTCCACAGAGATTCCCTTATGGAAACACATTCAGAGAGCAGCACAGAGATCCCTCTGTATGATTTTCTGTTTTTCCCAAATTTGATACCTATCTGGAAGGATATTCGGTGTTACCTTTTCCCCCAAAATATACATACTCTGTATATGGTGAGTGCAACCACTGTTGCCATATGTATAAAAAAGTAGCCAAACCATTGCACAAAGAATAATATAAAAATGTGAGAAAAAAAACAAATCAAAACATTATAGAAAACATGCCAAATTGAAATCAACATTTAAGCCTTTAGGTTGCATAGTTTGAAGTTTATATATCCAAAAACCCTCTCTTAATTTGTTCATCATGTCACCTGCCCTGTCATCTAAATGTACATGTTCGATGACTGTGAAAGATAACCTATGTGGGTCAAATGATGGACATTAGTTGCAATGACAGGGGACTGAATGTGTATGTAAACGTCTTTCAATATTATTGGAATGTTCAAGGAAACACACTATTGCTTGTCTACCTGTTCTTCCAACATACTGTGCATCGAAACCCACAGGTTAGCAGGTACACAACATGTGTGGAAGAACAGGTGGCTTAACCTTTAATTTTGAAAATCTCTTTTGTAGAAGTACTTTGAAAGGACATGTGATCAAATATTTTATTTTTTTGTTTTTCAACTACCAAGAAAATGTTATTTGGTTTGTGATGATTAAAGGTACATATACCGTACCTTGTGGTAATGATCCTGCCACATCTATTGATTGTTTAGTCAATACATTATACATATGATTATTAATTCATGTTCTGATTGTAACATACCCCCACTTCAACCAGTTATAGTTACAACAGATTCTGATATCTATTATTATAAAAAAAAGTGTTAAAACCACTTATACAAAGGTAGAGTTAAACTATAATTACCTTCAATATAGTATCTGAGTGCTTTCTTAACTCACTTTAAAAAAAATAATAAAACATTCAAATCACCTTAAGCTCCACCCAACAGCCGCTGGAAAATATACTTAAACATTTAAGATTCATATTGTTAAGCATCCAATCTCACAAACATGACTTTCCACAATGGCTGTCAGATCTTGTTAAAAAATTTTGTTTTTTTTGGGGTGTTTCTGGTATTTTTAGCCACTAATAAACTGTAGTTAGTATAGTTACTAATTATATGTTAGGGAATAAGTTGTCTTCTCCCTAGCAGGACAAAGAAAGATGAATAATGTCATGTTTCCAATTATCAACTATTCTAAATAGATTGAGAGATTTTGAATAAAAGAGTATTTCTAACATTTAAAGAGAGTGTGATTTTACATACCATTGTGAACAAAGGCGGTAAGTACTTTGCGGTTTCAAACTATCCTTATATATCTAAATCATATACAAGGATGTTTATCTCTAAAACAAAACACTAGAAAGATTAACTAAGTTACTATTTCATCTATCAGTATTTTACAAAGTATAACAAATGTAAAGATTTTTCCACAGATTTTACCTGTTAACATTTTTAGCACAATAGTACCTAATGTCGTTATATGTCTATCAGTGAGATGGTGAGGTGTTACCAAGATTCCAATACAGCAAAAAGAGGTGTTCTTGAGATACCACTTTGATTGCTGTATCAACATAACATGTACTATATTGGGATCCATGTCACTTAAGACATGGTTTTGCTTACAAGGAAATGCCCTTTCAAATATGTTGAATGGAAAAAGATTTTAAATGGATTTTGTCCAACTTGTCTTTTGTGGCTCAATATGTGCAGGACACTCTTCAGTTAATAACCACGTTAGAGCCTCCTGGAATTTGTAGTCATGCACAAATAATCCAGAAATAAAATAATAAAGCACCTGTGTTATGAGAAGCTTTGTCAGAGTCCAATTATACAAACAAAGAAAATTCTATCTCTGGTCTTCCAAAACAGTAAATTCCTGCAGAGGAAGTGATAACATTGCTTAGTCGCATAATTTAGGCTCCTTTAGGTTCCTGGATTCACAAACTGAAAGTTTTGAAAATACTAATTTGTGAGACAAAAAAACCATCACCACCATTTCCTTACTCAGGAAATTGTAAACTACGAGAACGATCATCTAATTGTAGCCCTTCCGAAAAGTCGATCTTCTGCTTTATCAAACAAGAATGCACAAACACAGCAATAACAAATGGGAAGATACATACATAAACTAAAACCTTCGCCTTTTATAAATATAATTATTTTAGTAATATTGTAAGTAGTGATTTCATACAGATTCTTCAAATAGAAAGCACTCTTTATATAAAATGGCACACAAAAAAAACTAAAACAACATGGGAAAATTTTTTGCAAAACTTACTAATGTCCGTGGATTTTATAAAATAAAAAAAATATATATCCACTAATGTCTACAGTTGTCTCAGCTGCAAAATCTGAGTTTGTTTTTTGGCATGACCTTTAGTTCTCCTGAAATCTATCAAATAAGCACCAATCTGTTGGATAATAATAATAAGAAGAAGAATGAGAATAATAATATCTACAACAAGGTGAACTTGAAAACAGGTATATTATAGTTACTCTTTAAAACATTGAATACATATCTAGCATATAAATTAAACATTGAACTGCATGTTTTTTTATAAATTGCTGTTAAGAGAAAATTAAAGATTCAGCTTTGCAAAATGTATATTTTCATATTTTTCTATTCATCCTCTAAAGCATGGGTTCCCAACCCAGTCCTCAAGTACCCCCTACCAGTCCAGGATTTAGGGATTCCTGTGTTGTGTCTAAAGTGTTTTTTAGTTTTTTAAATGTTTAAACCTCTTAGACACAAGTGGGTAATCCTTAAATCCTGGACTGTTAGGGGGCACTTGAGGACTTGGTTGGGAATCACTGCTCTAAAGGAATATTTAGGGATAAAGAAATTACAGTGAATATGATATCCTAGCTTTTGTGATGCCCACATGCTGTTAAGCTAACACCAATATATCTTTAGTGTACACAACACATCGCAGTCTACAATGAATTCCAATAAATGTTGTAGTGTACTCAGGGTTTTTCATGCCATCCTTCCTTTCCCTGCCGTACCTTCGATGCAAGAATTCAGCTATGAAGTTTGACCTTTTAAAACTTTCTGTAAAGTAGATCAACAGATGATGGTTTTCTGTTCCTCTGCAACTTTGCAAAGCGAAATCCTGAAATGTCTCTACAATGTGTAAACTATCACTAGAGCAAAGGGGAAGGTCTGTTGACCTACATTTTCATTGTTTTCTTTATCCTGTGCCTACATATGGTTAATATTGAAAATTAATACATTATTTGCAATCACAACCTGAATTAATTCTAAAGTGAATCACTGTCTACGCTGCTGTAAAGCAAACTGTTTATTATAATAATTTATTCATAAAAAGAAAAAATAGTTCCATTGTTCTTAATAGGTTAGAAAATACAAAAAAAGATTGAACTGAAATTGTTAAAAACAAATAGTTGTAGCAATCACTCTTTTAACAGAAAACAAAAAGAGGATTTACTGAATCATAAAGAATAGAATAATAAAACAATAGAGAAGGAGCGAATGGGAAAAACACAGGTAATAAAAATAGCAGTAAAAATATGGTTCATCCGTTTCAGTGAAAATTTATTTTGAAGGTTTTACAGGTCATCGTAAAACATGAATACTAGCCATAGGCTCCGACCAGTTTTCAGTATGTCAGTGTCACAGATTTTAATTCAATCCCCTAAAATAGATATTTTCCAAAATAGTCTCAGAATGCAGATATTGTTATATCTTTCTTGCTCTAAGCTATCAAAAAAGTTTGCAAACATACTTTTGGGATCAAATTTGCCAACAGTACATTTTTGATGATGTAGTGAATGGTATATTGTGATATATTATTATGGTATCATTTACAAAGTTCCTACTGATACATTGTCAGCTTTTATAGTGCAATGCCCTGAGGTTTATCCATAAAGATCTATCCTCATCTTTGTTTCAAAGTCACTTATTTAGGGTGATTTAGGCTGACTACCCACTCTACCTAATATCCAATAGACATTACTAACCTTAGTCAACTTTAGAAATAGCTTAACCCTGTATTCACTGTATCTGGTACATCTCATCAAACTGGTTTTAGTGTCTGGAGTTCCCTGGTACCATAATTAGAATCCCCAGAAGCACATCTCATCTTTGCTGATTCGTCTAATAAGGAAGTATTTGCCTGTGCAGCAATGGGAAGCTGTGATTGGCTGCAAATGTCAGCTGATTGCTTTTAGCCTATCAGAGCTCCAACTGACGGTATGAAGGGTATGACAACAAGGAACTGTGTAATTTCTGCCTTAGCCACACCTCCAGAAGGGGCCAGACTGTGGATGGCCAGGGACCCTTACATAGTATTAAACTGATCTAAAATTGTAACTACTTCAATTCACTGAAGGGGTTATGGTGCTTAGAGTAATCCTTTATTATGTCTGTTTGACCATTTCCTTGATGTTAATGGCTTTATGGTAATACCCGTTACATAGTCAACATTTAACATTATTGATACCAGCATTTGATCTGTCTCCATATCTCATCGATTGTAAGCTTATTTGAGCAGGACCCTTTCTTGTCTCTGTTAATATTTTATATGTCAACTACTTATCAACTATCCCCATTTTATGATTGTAAAGCACTACAGAAAAGGTTGGCACTATAATAATAATAATCATAATAATATATACATTGCCATGGAATTTATAGTTCCCGGTAATA